TATAATATACTAAATATCACATGTAAGGAGAATCATTTTTTGGACGATTCTACCCCTACTTACATGCATGAATAATAATTAACATTGAAAAGGAGGTGAAGGATAAAATCATATGCATGTATAATAATAATTAACATTGAAATGGAGGTCAAGGATAAAATCAAAGTTGCTAGGTTCATGATTGCAGAAGCGAGAAGTCCTATGACAACACACAAACATTAGTAGAAATAAAAACCTAAGTTTATGTACCCATACAGTAGTTCATGTACACACTTCTTTTTCTATATTCATTGATTCAAATTAATTAGATTTCATGTTCATGAATGAATTTGATTTTTGTCATGAGTTTTAGACGTAAATAAATTAATCTCCCAACTATTTATATTATTTTCACAAATTGGTTGTTGTTAAAATTGTGAGGGAAAAAAATAAATGAACAATACTTTGGAGATTTATTTCAGATCTCACAATAATGACTAATTTTGAAAGTAAATAAGCATTTTAATTAATATTCTTCTTCACCATTATTATTACAAAAGAAACTGGACACACATGTGTAACGTGAATAGAATGTTATTTCCAGTATTATTTTAGTTGTTTATTGACGAGCCAATATCTTGTGTTGCGGGCTGTAAAATAAATTAAAAAATATTTTTTTACCAGATTTCTCATATTAAATTAAATAAGGGGAAGTTTATGGTGATGACTCATATTTATTCTTCATAAAATTTTGGAGCTATTTAATTATTCTAGGAGCCACACATATAAAGTGATAAATGCATGCATGAACCGAAGCAATTAGCTGCATTAATTATTCATTTTCATAACCAAAGTACTCACACGTAAATGTATGCATGAACCAAAGACATTAACTACATCAATTATTTATTTTCATAACCAAAGTATTCACACACAAACATTAGTAGATTCACGTACATACCTTTCTTCGCCAGGTGGCTATTTGTGACTGAAGACAACGTCAAGTGTTTACCTTGCTTTCAGGTATTTCACATCAGTTCTTCCCTACTGCTTTTATTGGTCTCTCACAGAAGCATTTGTATGTTTATTTCATTAGAATGAAATTTTGATAGCACTCAAAGCTCCACATGGCACCACTTTAGAAGTTCCAGATCCTAGTGAGGTTAGTTTTCTTTACTTTCTTCTAAAAAAGTGATCAATAACTTAGAGTCAAGTATTGCACAAGAATCTGTACTGCATATAAACTTATGAATTTCCTTGATTTGTTCAGGCAATTGATTATCCACAGAGGAGATACAGAATAGTTGCCCGGAGCACTATGGGACCTATAGATGTGTACCTTGTCAGGTACTACTTTCCTGTAAGAAAGTGCATTCATTATTACCTTCATCTTTTTATCAAGGTTTACCCTCGTTCGTAAGGGAGAAAATTGATCAACTGACACCTATTATGTTTTTTATTTGTTTCTGATTGTCTGCCCACCAATGTAATTTAGTCAATTTGAAGAAAAATTTGAAATGAATGAGGTCTTTAGCATTAACATTTAATGAGAACGCTTCTGCAACACCAACAACCGAGGGGATAAGAGTGAACGAATATGAGATTCAGAGCTTAGAAGCTCAGAAACAAGTACGTCGCAAGGTTTTGTGAGTGGAATATTGAAGATTGTGCTCCGAATCAAACCAAAAAAAAAGGGTATAAAGAGATTTTCATTGAATAAAAAGCTGATTTCACATACATAATTTCTCACAATTATCTCTCTAACTCATGCATCTTCAAATATTATTTTTACGCACTTATAAAACATTTCAAAACAATGTGCAACGCACGTTTACTTTTGACTAGTCGACTTAAACGTACTAGTCATAGCACTATAGGAATTGATGACACCTCTACACACAAGGATCTACAAAACATCCTTTTTTAGGGTAACACAGCACATATTTGAGCTCCATTTTTTCAAAATAAATTTTCCAAAATTTTATTTATTGAAAAATATACGATTAAAAAGTATGAAGAATTATTTTATTAATAGAACGTATATTTACAAATGAATTTAAAGAAAAATGTATTTTGAAAAAAAAATGAAACTCAAATAGGAAATATATACAGATTGATGTACTTAGGAAGAAAAAAAATAGTTTGAAAGAGAGAAAAGAAGAAAAAAGAGAAAAGGAAATCAGTTAACATTTGAAATAATATCATTAATCGCTTTGTAGATGATTACGTATAAGTAGCATTACTCTAGTCTGTGAGATGTACATCACACTTAGCCCCTATTTGATGTTCATTATTGAAAAAAAAAAGAAAAAAAAGAAGAAGATGTTTTGAATAGTATTTTTTTTTTTTTTTTTTGAAAAAAATGTGTAGTTAAAGAGTAAGGAAAAATTTTGGGTATAAGTGCAAAATATTTTATTATTTGAGTATATGGTTGAAAAAGAGTATGATAATTAAAGAATTTTGTTTCAAAGGGAGTATACGGCATTTGTTGATCTAAAAAAGTGTACCTCCAGTTGGCCAACAGAACTCGAGACCTCCTCACTTCTTAACAAGCTGTTTTCCTGCACACTATGACAAACCGTTAGACACACGTGGCCTTCTCCGATAGGGGTGGAGCTGGCCGCGCGTACTCCGAAGGTCAAGTCAGTTGGGAAAGATGTATGTGAGTGTGGGAGAGCTTAAAACATGAGCCTTCAATATCAAATAAAGGGGGGTCGGATTCGGAAGTAAATAAAATGTAGAGAGCAAAATTATAATATCAAAGTCTAAACTTGCATTACCTCTCATTGGCACTAAGTGTGAGCTTTTATAGTAGGAGATAATACGTGAAGACCGTCAGATGAAGAGACACATAGCTTCATCCATGTGGGCACAACCTCCCATCGTGGGAATCAATCAATCATAAGATTTGAATAGTAACATCAGCTTGCCTTTCAGAATTTATAGCTTGCGGCCATAGACTCAACCAACCAGGCTGGCGGTGGCGACGATGTCAGGGAGCAATCAAATCAGTCGAGTCACTAGAGCTGATTTAGGAGATCTTCTATCAATCAACCTCTTTATTAATTTCATTGCTTTCGCCTGGGTTCCTGTAGGCCGGTTCACCCCTACTGGTTTGGTTTTGTTGGTTCAGATAGGGGTGGGTTCGGTTAAGGAGTTCATCATTTGGTTCGTTATTCCATGGGTTCGGCCTTGGAGGATGCGAAGTGTCTGTGGTCTCGCCTGCCACGTGGCATTTTCGGGCCCCTATGATGAACGTGGTATAACAACATTGACACAAAACATAGCTTAATTAAATTGGCTTGTGCCACGTGATCAGCACCTGCAATTAGAATGATAATTTTGCTTGGTATGGCTGTATGCGTCTTTGGTGGCACATGTCCCATGTATAGTTGTCTTAGCTTGCTAAATAAAACATGGAGTCGTTTGTTTCCCTTTTTGTTGTGTAATCACCTCAACCACATAAAAGTGATAATAACAAAAAGAAATGGTCAGTATTGTGTAAAATTCTAGTCCTCATAGATTATTAGGAACAGTGCGGGAATCCTATTTCCTAATCAAAGGTGAATCATTATAGGATTTTAATCTAGAAGGTAACTTTACTATGGTTGATTAAATATGAATATGGCAAAACTCACTCAATAAAATTTCTGAAAGACAAAAACGGCCACTCTACATTTTTTAAAATATTTTATTCTGAAAAACAATATGTATTTTAATAGAAGAAATCGTTTTACATGAAGAAAATGAATGATTGCAATACAGACTAAAAGGACATCATTCCCCAATTTGGTAAATAAAGAATTTAATTTAAGTCAAAATCAACAATTAATTTTATTCACATATTTCACGTGATCCATAACTTTTGAATCAAATATTTCATCAACTTTTATCAAAATCCACTAAAAAATTGATTTTAATCCCCATAGGGGTTATATGACTTCATTTTGATGGTTTTATTGGTTGATTGAACAATCCCTAACAAGCTTTTGAGCCTCTTGGCTAGGCATGCATCATTAATTCTAGGGGAAAATTTCGATGGTAGCCATTGAACCTTTAGCAAAATCTCAATTCGGTCACTAAATTCTCATTTCCTTTTACGACTATATCATGTTTAATTTGCAGTAGTACTCTAAATGATCTTCGACATAATAATTAAGGGTATCCTATCAATTGGGAAATGGTAAGATAGGATTACACCGATATCTTTAAAATTAAATGGTTAAACAACTTTTTTCAACACTTATATGATGTGATTTAATGATAAGTTGACACGCCATTAAACGGTTACCTAGTAGATTTGTTGCTGTATAGCTACCAAAAAAGCAGTTATCAATTTGTGAGATGACACGTGACGTGATAAAATCATAAAATAATAATAAAATTTAGTGAGCCAATCGAATTTAAACTAAAGTTGAATAATTTAATTGAGACAAATTAAAGTTTATTAATTCAATTAAGATTTTGCTAAAAATTCAATGAAGTCAAATATAAGCTACCCTGGATTCTAGATAGATTGCATTGGTTTCGAGAGGGTAAGGGTAGAGTTGTCTTTTTCACCAAAGATGAGAAGAGGGTAGCGTATTTTGTCTTCTAGTTGAGAAGAGATGGGATTAGGACCAGATAGAGAGGAGGAGGAGATGCAGATGTCTGCATACTTGAGGACAAGACATTGGCACATGGAGAAGGATAGACCACTCTTCTTGCTTGTTATCACCCCTAAATTGGGTTTGTGAGATTCTCATGGTTTCTTTTCTTGTAATGAAAGGGCAAAATAGTCATTTCAAAATTTTTATTTTTTCCAAATTCACACACCTCTTGGTTTATTTCTTGTCCCCATCTTGTAACCCCAAGATAATATTCCACCCACCCAACACCTAAGCCTAAGCCTAATCCCACCCCACAAACAAGCACTCAAAAATGCAAAGTCCACCTAGCTAGTGAGTAGTCACAATCTCCTCTATTTCTATATAAACTCATCATCCACCACCATATTTCTTCATAACATATTTCTTCTTCTATAATTTATCCCATTATCCTACTTTCCTTGCCCTACTACTTCTATAACCAATACGAGGACCAAAAACCATTAGTTCAAACAATTGCTTTCTTTCTTTAACTTCCAAACACATCCAAAAACTATGCCTTCAAGAATGATCTCTCATGCCTTCAAGGCCTACCCCCTCAATCACCCTCACAAGTACTTGGATTTAAATTCCATAAAGGAATTACCTGAATCCCATGAATGGACGTCGGCTAGCAACGAGCACCCCGTCGTCAAGGTGCCTAATGTCGAATCCGTCCCTATTATCGATCTAAATAACAAGAATGCCATGGACCTCATAGGTCATGCATGCAAAAAATGGGGAATTTTCCAATTGATTAACCATAATATTTGTAAGAGCTTGCTTGAAGATGTTGAGTTGGAAGGTAAGAGGCTGTTTTCTCTCCCCATGCAGCAAAAACTTAAAGCAGCGCGTTCACCGGACGGTGTAGCCGGCTACGGCGTGGCCCGTATTTCTTCCTTCTTTACCAAGCTCCTGTGGTCCGAAGGGTTCACTGTTATTGGTTCTCCACTAGAGCATGCCCGTCAACTTTGGCCCTATGACTTCCAAAACTTCTGGTACTTTCACAATTCAAAATCTACACACATAAATTAATAAAAAGAATTTCAGTTTTAGGCCTGTTCATATGTTCAACAATATTTCCAATACTTTTCTTTACAGTGACACAATTGAAGCTTATCAAAACCAGATGAAAAAGCTAGCTGAAAAACTGATGTGGCTTATGCTTGGATCATTGGGCATAACCAAAGAAGATGTAAAATGGGCTAATAATAAAGGAGAATCCGAAGAGGGATGTGCTGCTCTACAATTAAACTCTTATCCGGCCTGTCCCGACCCGGACCGGGCTATGGGTCTTGCACCGCATACTGATTCGACAGCACTCACCATTCTTCACCAAAGCAACATAAGCGGTCTACAAGTTCTCCGGGAGGGCTGCGGGTGGGTCACCGTGCCTCCTCATCCCGGCGCTTTAGTGATCCATGTAGGTGACCTTTTACATATATTATCCAATGGTTTGTATATAAATGTTCGCCACCGAGCCGTGGTGAACCGGACCCAACATCGTTTTTCACTAGCCTACCTTTATGGGCCACCCGCGGATGTCAAAATCTCCCCACTTACGAAATTGGTAGACCATTTTCACCCTCCACTCTATCGGCCAATAACTTGGAGTGAGTATCTTGGAACTAAAGCTAAGCATTTCGACAATGCACTCACATCAGTACGGGTTTGTGCTCCTCGAAATGGATTTGTCGATACAAACGATAACAATAGTGTTAAAGTTGGTTAGCGACGAGACCTTGACGACGACCACAACAGGTTATGATGTTTTTTAGCTTTACTATCTAGAGAATTACTATATTCAGGACTGATCTCCTCTCCATAGTGAGCAATACGTGATCTTGCCACCTCATCCTATTTACACATTTTTCGTAATGAATTTTGTTTCTAATTTCTCTTCTTCAAAATTTTCACTTCTCAATGCTTGGAGGGTAGTTGCTTCGTTAATAGCGAGATTTATGGTCGTTGGATTCTTAAAGGAAAAGAACGAGGATATGAATGATGTAAAGAGATTCAAACAAAAGTATTCTTGTTGGCCTTTTCTCTTTCTGCAGAGAGAAAAGGGAGATAAAATTCGCATTTGAATATTAGGCAAAACGACACACATGCGAGCACAAGTTCACCACACCCCCACTCTCCTTGGATATAAAGCAAATTCTTCTCTTCAAAGAATAAGACAAAGATCAAGATAAAAATGGTTAAATCATGGGGTCAAATATTCGAAAAAGATGATGGGGGGACAAAAATACTATTAATAGTACACTGCAAAATGATGGCGATTAAACAAGTACAAATCATAAATAAAAATAAGTAATTATCAAACGAATTGAGCAAGAATAAGAGCCCATAATTTCTAATATGTGAAATTTTTTACTTTGTCCCCGTTTGGTGGGATTAAAATCAAATTTATAGTTGATTTTGATAAAAGTTAATGAAATATGTGATTGAAAAATTGTTGGACTTATTTTGTAATTAAAATTAATTATTGACTCTAACATAAATTAAAATTTTAATTTTAATTACTACCAAATAAAGAATTTATATATTTTTCAGTCACAGCGTCTTTCTTCATTTTCCAGCAGAGTATTTTTCGGCATTATTGTAAGGACACAAGATGGCAGGCCTCATAATGCACAGCAACACTACTCTGAGTTACATGTATTTCTCTCTTGAACCGTGTGCACCATGACAATATATTACTGCTGCCAAATGTGGGTTTTACAGCTAGAATTAAAATTTTTATACTATTTTGTAATAAATAATTATAATCTAATTTGATTTTTTAGAAAACTATACAGTTCTTTACTTGTGATTAAGCAGTTCATTTATTTAAAAATAGTTAATATTTAATAATGAACACAGATATATTGCCCATGTTTTGTCTAAATTTTAATCTAAGTTAAAGTGAGCAATTAATTTTAACTACACATTTCATAGGATCCATAATTTTCCAACCCACCCTTTCATTAATTCTTATCATAATCCACAAAAAATCTGATTTTAATCCCATCAAATAGGAGAATTATTTGGATGATTTTATTGAATTTGATTGGAAAAGAAAAATATTTTAAATGGCTTAAGACCACGTGCTGAGGTAAGGTTTATAATCTTGGACATAGTGCTCATCGGCTTAGGATAAAGAACCAGCTTCTCGAGAAAGCATGAAGTTTGATCCAATAGAAAGCCCTACTCGTAGAGGCCATAAGCGAATATTCAGTTAAAGTCAGTATTAACATTGCCCTTGTTTACTTTTTGGGGGGCTAACGAGCCAAAGAGAGGAGATCCGAGTAAGGTTAAGGCTGGATGAATCAACGACTAGACAAAATTTGCATGAGCTCCTCCTCTTTATGAAATGATCAACGAATATCGATTTTCCTTCCAAAGTTTGGGTTTTTAGAAATTTGCTACTCTAATAGGCCTTTTGGATAGGCCGAGGTGGTAACACCTCAGCCTTTGATCTGATTTTCAAATTTCAAATAAAATCAGATCAAGGGTTGAAGTGTTGCCACCTCGGCCTTGTCACTTGAGCCTGTCCAAAAGGCCCGTCATTGTAGCACTTCTCGGGTCACATTCTTCAAGGAAGACTTTAGTCCTTCAGCCAATAATTGGCACTTGTCATTTTTGTCGTATTAAGGGAAATAATTAAAATTACAAGGAAATCACTTGTTACATTTATATTTAGGAATCAATTGACATAACTTATGCATTTTGCAGAAAAGTTTTTAGAGGAAGCTATTTTAAATTTTGTTTAAAAACTAATTTTTAAAAGTACATATTCGAACAGATTTGTTGAAAAACTCTTATAATCACTAGAAGCACTTTTATGAAATTAGTCAAACGGGTTCGAGACAGTTTTAGAATAACAAAAGCCTCTTTTGACTTTTCAAAAGCCCAGCCAAATAGACCTTAGTCTAACATAATCTCGAGGTGGTTTAAGTAAGTTAATGTGAAATATGGTCATGTTATCACCTTATATTTTCTCTTTAAATAACCGCTCCACTTGGCAATTTTTAATAATGATAAAACTAAAGCATAATATAATAAAGACAAACATAAAACTTGCCCCATATGGAGACAATAAAACAATAAATGGTTAAATCTTGTTTTAGAATCGTTTTAAATACAAATTTATAAATGATTCATATATTTATATTTACTACTCATTAGTATCAAGATTTTTTTTTTTTTTTTGGATCCATTACTATCCTTCTAATTATTCCACTATGTAAATCATTTATAAATTTTTCAAACAGAGGCTAAATAATTACACTCCATGGGAATCATCATTCGTGGAGTTAGAATCTTGATCACTCTCAAATTCACTACTTGACTATACCCCAAAGGCACTAATTTGTTCATGTTTGTGTAAAGTAAACTTCAGTAGAGAGCATTTATAACTCATATTGGTCTAGCACTTACGCCTCTTTTGGGGATTGTAATGCCCATTTTTGGCAGGGGCAGAGAGAAGGGGCAAGACCCTAACGTTTTCTAATTTTTTTTTTTTTTTTTTAAATAACAAGTTATTTGGGAGCTTAATTTTATTTATTTTATATTAATTATATGGGTGAGATGAGTCAAATTAACATTCTATTTTTTAACTAAACTGAACTTGTTGTTTAATGATTTTTCAATTTAGAAGATGGGTTATGAAATTTGTCATGAATATTTCGAAACAATATAAAGAACCCACCCAACGAGTAAAGAACATAGTTAAAAGATGAGCCAAAAATAGTGACATCAAATTGAGAATTAATTGATGAAAAATAAAAATGTTAATGATCTAAACACCTCTTTGGCTCAATATTTGGAAACCGTCTTCTAATGGATTTTCAATATGAAAGATACGTCGGGAAGAAACCAAACAAATTTTGGCTGTCCCAAACAATAAATTTCTGGCTCTGCCATCGCCATTTTTTAGACTGTATTAACCATCCCAATGGGGGAGGAATTCTAATCCTCGACCAAC